AGCAGCCCTTGGGAAATCCAGTTCTTTCCCTCTGTGGTGCTTCCAGGGGCCACGAGGAAGCCTGGACAGGTAGAGCTGAGCTCACCACGGAGCTGTGCTGGCACAGGCAGCAGCTCCTGCTGCCTGCATATGGTGGAAAAATCAGGATGCGCCTCCAATCCCTCCGGGCAGGGAAGATGCTGTAAATAGCATGGCCAAGTTTCAAGCTCTCACAGCACAATGGGAAGCAGTCCAGGCTTTTCTGGTGTCAGGAAGGAGAGAGCAAGAACGTGTTTTATGTGTCCTTGGGGGGAAAAGAGAGAGGCAAAGGCGTCCCAGCTGGAGTTGGGAGCGCCGGGAGGGGCAGGGTTTGGCTCCCACGAAAAGTGGCAGTGCCTGCAGTGACAACAGTTCCTCTTGGGTTGGCTGATGGTGCCTTGGTGGGCTCTGCCCTCACCCAGAGCCGTGCCAGGGCTGTGCCTTGGGGCCCAGCTCTGCTGGTTGAACAGAATCTCTGGGCAGCAGCCCAAACCCCAGGCGGTTTCTCTGGCCAAAGCTGGTGCTGTTCTCCGTGGGGTTTTCACTTCTCCAGGATTTCCCCAGCCCTCCTCCTGACTCCTGGATGCCTGGAGGAGACTGTGCTCTCCTCTCTCCGGGCTCACATTCCAGCTGGGAGTCACTGAACACCTCCTGGGCACAGACCATGGCTCTTTTCTAGTGCTCCTTTCAGTCCTGCCCAACTTTTCACTATTTAAAGGCCTTAATTGCAAACCCTAAAGGGTGTTTAAGCACCTTATTCTTACTTAAAATAAGCTTAGACTTACCTTTTGTGTTATTCAGTCACAGGTAGGGCTGGTCCCACTTGGAAATGAAATTATTCAAAAAAATCCACGTAATCCTGTGTCAGAAAAGAATATGAATATATATATATATATCAGAACATATATTTTAGTATATATAACAAACATATATTTTTATATGCAAAATATATATAAAATACGTTATATATATGTTATATCTAAATATATGTATATATGTTATATATAAAATATATGTGTTATATAAAAATATATAATCTGATATATCTAAATATATGTATGTGTTATATATAAAATATGTATTATTATATAAATACATGATCTAATATATATCAGATCATGTATTTTATATTTTTTGATCAGATTCTATAATTTATACATATTTATATTTTTGTCATATAAAAATATACGTATGTTATATAAACATATAATCTGATATAGATCAGGTCATATATTTTATGTTTTCAGATCAGATTATAAAATTTACATATATATAGTTTTACATTTTGTTATATATATATGTATGCTGTATATAAATGTATAATCTGATCTATATCAGTTTATATATTTTACATTTTAAAATCAGATTGTATAATTTATATATATATTTTTATATTTTTTGTTATGCATATATGTATGTTATATATAAATATATAATGCGATTATATGAGTACATATTTTTATATTATATATCAGAGGATATAATTTCTATAAATTTCTATTTTCTATTTTTGTTTTATATATAACAAACATATTTACATACATTTACATATACGTTACACATATATGTATGCTATATGTAAATATAGAATCTGATTATATAAGAATATATATTTTTATATTTTATACCGGAGGATATAATTTTTATATATTTATACTTTCTATTTTTGTTTTATATATAACAAATATATATATATGAAATATATAAATATATAATATATATAAATATATAAAATATATATAATTTATAAATATATTATATATAAATATATAATATAAAACATAAAATATAGAAATATATATAATATAAAAGTATAAAATATATAAATATATAAATATATAAAATATATAGAAATATAGAAATATATAATGTATATAAAATATATAAATATATAAAAATATATAGAAATATAGAAAGATATAAAATAAATAAAATATATATAGAAATATATAATGTATATAAAATATATAAATATATAAAAT